ATTATTTATATTTGAGAATTATTTTGGCATTGTTCTGTTAAAACACTTCAGCTCTTTGTAGAAGAGGTACAGTATACATGACCATTGCTAGATTTACCTTCCTGAAAATATTTTTTTATCATCATCATTATCATCTTTTGGCTTAAAGGAAATGGTCACACTAACAAGTAATCCTAATCCCTTTTCCTAACAACTCTTCCTACAGCTGATCCTATACACCTCTTAAGACTTGCCTCTTACATACTTTAAGGAAGAATTTAGAATACTGTGCATAAAGCAGAAGAAAAACCAGAAGTAACACCACAAATATATAGGAAATGAAGGTAAATCTAAACTAATCAGCTAAAAGTGGTTTGCCTCTAAGGAATGGAGAGGAGGGAAGTCTGATTTTTCTGTAACAAACATTATAGAATTTGCCATCTTAAATTTAAAAAGCTAAAACTCTTTTTTTTGGGGGGGGGGGTCCATCATGGGGCTTGAACTCTGGGCCTGAGCACTGTCCCTCCCCTTTTCAGCTCAAGTCTAGCGCTCAACCACTTGAGCCACAGCACCAATTCCAGTTTTTCAAGTGATTTATTGGAGATAAGAGTTCCACAGCTTGGGGCTGGGAAGGTGGCTCAGTGGTAAAGCGCTTGCCTTGCATTCATGAGCCCCTGGGTTTGATTCCTCAGCACCACATAAGCAGAAAAAAAAAAGCCGGAAGTGGCACTGTGGCTCAAGTGGTAGAGCGCTAGCCTTGAGCTGAAGAGCTGAGGGACAGCACCCAGGCCCAGAGCTCAGGCCCCACCACTGGACCCCCCCCCCCAAAAAAAAGTTTCACAGCTTTTCCTCCCCCTGCTGGCTGTGAACCTCTATCTTCAGATCTCAGCCTCTTAAGTAGCTAGGATTAGAGGCGTGAGTCACTGGGACCAGGCTAAAAAGCTAAAACTTTTAAGATAGAAAGATATACAATAAGAAGAAAAATGAAAAAAGAAATAGAAAGTTTGATTTACTAACTGTACTGGATAGTATAATCTGCACATAATTGTCCACATGTATGGATAGCCAGTACAAAGAAGAGCCCCTTCACTTACTTGGAGCTATCTCAGTTGTCTATGAAAGAGATTGGGTTTTATCCAATAAGTAAGAGGTAGGGGAGTGGAGGTTACTAAATACTCGTGTAGTATAATATAACAATAGTAGCATGGGAGTATGAGAAGATTAAACAGGAATTATGCTTAAATGTAATTGACTAGGAAAGAAACAGAGTACATACATGAGATCTTCATTGAGTAGGGAGGTGATGAAAGCCTAGATTAGGATAATGACTAGGGAAACAGAAGGATTCAATTTTGAGTCATTTTGCAAGAACACAGGGTATGATTTACTGGCCAACTAAATGTGAAACTAAAGGAATGGGGGAGGGGGACATGAAATAAGAAGGAGGAATTCAACAGCCTCAGCACAGAGTAGGACTAAAAGAATACTTATAAATACTGATTCCAAAGTTATAAACCTGAAAGATAAATCTTCAGATATAGTTCAAATGCATATTTCAGTTCTATTTCAGGAGCTCTTTTTTGTTTAAGTTTCCAGCTGACTTGGAATATTTTTGGCTCAATTCACTTAAAACTTTATACTTATTTTTCACTACTTGACTAATGCTACCTGGACTACATCTTCTTGTATGTGCAGCAGATACTGAAGCATCAGTTCTTTTACTTAAAACTGTCTCATGCCATTACCTTGTTTGCAGTATTATTACAGTAGTCATTAATTACAGAAAATTCAAACGTAACTAAAATGGTTATGTTAGCAATTTAGAAACAACTCTGGAGCCAATGTAAAAAACACAATGGTTAGGAAATGATTGCTTAATATAGACAGGCAAAAATTAGGACACCTGAAAAGAAGCATTAGTGGGAACAGAGAAAGGTCTTCTTTGAGACATCTAAAAGCTGAACGAGCAGTGTCTAAAACCATCTGAAGAGGGTAGAAGCAATCAACACTGACACTTTGCTCAGATGGCTTTGTTCATGATTAAGTCAAATAAGGAAAGAAGTAATTTTTCTGACAAAAGACAATGAGTTTTATTGAGCTAAAAACTATGATAAAGAGAAAGTAAATGAAAATAAATGGGACAAATGAGCTCCATTCCCTTTAGAATCTTCATTTTAAAATATGGAAGATTATCCAAAGATTTCATCATCCCTTCAAAGTATATTCTATTGCTCATTATCTTCAGCACTCATGAAATTAACTCTACCAGAATGGAAATAAGATAACTAGCATTCATTGTCCAACTCATCTATCTTCAACAGGTTTTTTTATGCTTTTTTTTAAGGTAATAGGAAAATTTATTATTGAAAAGTACGGCAGAGAAAGACAGCATGTGGCACAGACATGTCAAAGAAAAGTGCACAGCAGATTCATCTTCTCAAAGCTTTATAACCACCTCCTTCCTTCTCTCCCTCCTTCCTTCTCTCCCTCCCTCCATCTCTCATTTTGCAGTACTGGGGACCCAGACCTCCTAGAAAGTGCTCTATTATTGACCTACACTCCTAGTTCTTTTCAGACTTTTACTTGTACATGTGTCTACTGTATTTTACATTAATGCTTTATATGTTAAACCAAATTATGCCTCAATTTATTCCAAACAATTTGCTCCAAACCAGTGGCAAAGTAACTGAGACCACCTCATTTTCATAGAAATGACACTGAACATGTAAAGCCGGTTCCAGTTTAATAAAACTATAGCTTAAAGTTTAAACATATCTTGAGTAAAGACAAAAAAAATCTTTCACTTGACTTTATTACCTCTGGCAAGTATCTCCCTACTTCTTCTCTCCCATTAAGCAGCAGAACTGCTTGAAGGAGTTGTGTATTTTGCTCTATTTTTGTTCTTTTAAAAACTGACTCTATTACACAATTCAAACATGCATAAAAAGCTGATGAAATCCTACAGCAAACTTCTCACATACTTATCATGTAAGTTCAAGAATTAGCAAAATATGGGGCTGGGAAGGTGGTTCAGTGGTAGAGCGTTTGCCTTGCAGGCATGAGGCCCTGGGTTCGATTCCTCAGCACCACATAAGCAAAAAGAAAAAAGCCGGAAGTGGCGCTGTGGCTCAAGTGGCAGAGCGCTAGCCTTGAGCTGAAGAGATGAGGGACAGCACCCAGACCCAGAGTTCAGGCCCCATGACCGGACCCCCCCCCAAAAAAAAAGAATTAGTAAAATATGTTTAACCAGCTTTCACCAATATACTTTCCTTTCCCATTCTGTTCTCTTAAAAAAGATTACTGCATATTAATTGTACAAAAGGGGTTTCATTATATTTCCACACATGTACCTAATATACTTTGGTCATATTCATTCCTCTTATTTGTTCTTTTAACCCCTTGCATCTAGCTTTTGCTCCAGTCACTCAATCAACACGGCTCTTACCAACTGCCAATTATAAGCATTGTTTGACACAGATGTTCACACCTTTTCCTGGGAAGGACTCCTTTTCCAAATTATTTGCAGCCTTCTCCTCTTTCCTAACCTTTTTATGTTTGAGTGTTTCAAGGTTTCAGACCCTGATTTTTCTATATTTATCCATAGTACTTATTAGGTGGTCTCTATCTGAAGAGAAATCATACTGATTTTACTTCTAAAATATATTCTGAGTTTGACCACTCCTGACTCCCTGTAGAGAGTCATGAGCTTCAATTCTGGCCTGTATTATTATCTACTGCAACAGCCTCCTACCTAATCTCCTTGTTTCCACCCCTTCCCAGTCCAGTCTATTCTCAACACAGCACTGTATGTCAAAGTGATGCTTTCAAAATGCTAACGCAGATGCAGTGACGTCTCAACTAAATCTCGCAAAAAAAGGTTCCCTAAGTTTATTCAAGGTGAGAGAAAAGTCCTTAGAATGGCTACTGAACCCCACACCTGCCCTGCTCTTGCCTCCCATTTACCATTTCAACTGTATTTCCTATCAGTCTTTCTCTTTCTCCCTTACTTGCTTCCAACATACTGCCCTCCTGATTATCACCTGAATATCAATACAGGCACACTGTTGTCCATGGCTTCTGCATTTACACATCTCTGGATATTCTCCCTTTCCTATATCTGGAAGACTGTATTTTCAAGTCTTTGTTCAAATGTCCAAAAGGCTTTCTTTGACCACTTTATTTAATATCTCAACCAACTCTTCCACTTCCCCTGCCTCCATCTTTGCATGTAATGAAGCAGCAAAATATGAGCATATGAGAATATGAAAATTATTGTTGTTATAATTGTATTCCAGATTTTCAAAAAGTTTAGTAAAACCAGACACTGGTGGCTCATGCCTGTAAGTGAATTGTTCCTCAATAAAGTTGTTTGGAAAACAATTTTGACATAATAAATTATACAGGACTGTAGTCATTCACACACAGTAAAACCAAAGGAGGATACTATGAGAAGAACCCAAAGGCACAAGCTCTGTGCCTCTTCTCACATAAAACAATATTTATTGAAATGAAGTCCAGTAAAACAAACAAGAGTCTTTGGACTTAAATTTGGGTTAAGTGCCAAAAATATTTAGATACTTTCACTGAATTCATAGTGTAAAACTAACAGATATTTTAGATGAAAGCTAGAACTAATAGACTATATAAGCGTTAGAATGAATCATAGAGGACAATTAATCAAATCCTTTTTTACTAGAATTAAAGGAACCATGATTCAGAGGTTTGGTGACGAGGTCTGAGGTCTTACAATTACGATGACTACCTCTCTCAAGTGTAAAATCAACACTTTCAGGGATTGTGTTATTTAGATAACCAGGGCCATAGCAGTACTCAATACCTGTTGTGATGGCTTTTCTAAAAAGAAAGGTAAAAGAAAAGATAAAAAAGGAAAAAGAAAGTCTCTTGCAATATGACCGGAGTGTCTCCCTCTCTTTGACTATCTAGTTTTCAACCAAAGGGGAGAATTAGTTTCTTTAATAACATAATTGAAGAAAAATGTATATTCTGTATTTTTAGCTTACCAAATATCTCTCCATTTTTGGCATATTCTGTCACAAGGTACAACATACTCTTGGTCTCCATTACCTATTAAAAAATAATTCCATATTAGTCTGTCAGGAAGCACAAACCTTTACCACATGTTATACAGAGTTACCTAAATTCAAACTATTCATAAAAGAATCTGCCTTACAATATCTTATGCTAATATTTTTTTTTTGTGAAAAACCTAGATCTTTGCTCTTCCTAAGTGTGGTCCATGGCCCAACAGGCCCAGGTACCTATTAGAAATGCAGAATCCCAAAAGCCAGGCTGCATTGGCTCACTGTAATCTCAGCTACTCAGGTAGCTGATATCTGAGGACATGATTCAAAGCCAGCAAGGGCAGGAAAGTCGGAGAGGCTTTTATCTCCAATTAACAACAAGAATAAAAAAGTCCCAAGCCGGGTGCAGGTGGCTCATGCCTGTAATCCTAGCTACTCTGGAGGCTAAGATCTGAGGATCACGGTTCAAAGCCAGCCCGGGCAGGAAAGTCCGTGAGACTCTTATCTCCAATAAACTACTAGAAAACCCGAAGTGGCACTGTAGCTCAAGTGGTAGAGCATTTACTTTGAACTGAAGAGCACAAGAACAGCGCCCAAACCCAGAGTTCAAGCTCCATGACCGACCTAAAAAATAAATAAAAAGAATAAAAAAGTCCCACGACCAGTACACAGACACAAAATGCAGAATCCCAAACCTACTGATATAGTTTACTTTTTTTTGGGTACTGGTCCTGGGGGCTTCCTGGTCAAGGCTAGTATTCTGCCAATGCTCCACTTCTGGCTTTGTCTTGGTGTTTATAATTGGCTTTGAATCGTGATCTTCAAACTTCAGTATCTTTAGTAGCTAGCATGAAAGCCCAGCTTAGAGTTTACATTTTAACAAAACTGACAAATGATTTGTATACACATTAAAATTTAGAAATACTGATATAGATAAAAAGTTTTCAAGACCAACTTTTCAACCCCTCTTCTCTGAGTTTTTGAGTCTTCTGTTACCATGATACACAAATTAAGAAAGGAATTATAAGCCGGGCACTGGAGGCTCATGCCTGTAATCCTAGCTACTCAGGAGGGTGAGATCTAAGGATTGTGGTTCAAAGCCAGCCTGGGCAGGAAAGTCCATGAGACTCTTATCTCCAACAAACCACCAGAAAACCTGAAGTGGTGATATGGTTCAATTGGCAGTGCTAGCCTTGAGCTGAAGAGCTAAGGGCCAGCGCCTAGGCCCAGAGTTCATGCCCCAAGACCACCACCACCAACAACAAAAAGAAACGAATTATGGGGTTGGGAATAGGGCTCAAATGATAGAGTGCCTATTTAGCAAACTCAAAGTCCGGGGTTCAAATTCCAGTACTGCAAAAAAAAATTTTTTAAAAGAAATAGAAAAGAATAATAAAACAAGAACTTAGTTTTTTTAAAAAAAGAACTTGTTGATCTAAGATTAGACTAGCTAATCTGGCAGGATGTGCAATTCTTCCTTCTATACTTTAATATTATTACAAAGCACTGTAATTTTAAAACATTGTTTACAAGCATCTTTTACCATTTCAATGCTATTTTTATTTAAATTAGGTTTTCTAGATTCAGAAAGAAGTGTGTCTGTCAATTGTCACCAATTTGATTTTTCAAAATATCCTGAATTAGAAAAATGTTAATTTTGAAATTCAAGATGAGTAATTTTTAGTCTTTGTCCCTGGAACATTCTTTTAAATTAAAAAGTAGTTTTCAGCTAGCTACTGAAAGGCTGAAAACAAATTTTGTCCTAAAATTACATATCAGGCCAAAAAACAAAGTGGTTTTATTTATACTTTGGGCCTAAACAAATACAGACTCAACCTCAACTCTTTATTATAAATAATCAGAATTACCACAAAAGATTTAACCTCAATTTAACCATGTGGTCCGTCAGCTAGGGCCCAACTATCATTAGTTTCTTCATGTGGTCCATCAGCTATGGTCCAACTATCATTAGTTTCTTAGAACTATTTTCTTTAGGAATTTAAAAAAACTGTAAAGGGAGAAATAATGTAAGTTTGACCTAAGAGGCCCCTATAGTTTTATAATTTTAAGAAATATTTGGACTGACACATAGTAGACATGTTGTAAGTCCGTGGTCTCCAATCTTTGTAAAATGTCATTTTCTATTATAAACAGTGTTTAGCTAAATATACAGGTCTGTATACATGCTTATGTATAAACACATTTGTGGATATGCATGCGTCAATATATAAATACATACATTATAAAATATACATAAGAGAATATCATAAACTTAACTAGAAATTCTAATATTTTCTTCTTATACTCCCAAAGACCTGAGCTAATTTATTTGAGTATACAGTAGTATTGGATGACAGGAAAAAAAGGACTGATTTGTAAGCCAATTTCTTTGGTATTAACACTTATTGATTTTGAGCTACTAATGTGATGTTAATCAGCTTGCAAAACTTTTCAGCAAATTCAACCATAAGTCTTACCACGAGTATAGGTTGAGTCTAGCATGCTATGAGTACACCTATCATACCTTGGAGGCCAAAGTCATAGATCAGCATCAAGAGTTTAGAAACCGGGCTGGGAAGATGGCTCAGTGGTAGAGTGCTTGCCTTGCATACATGAGGCCCTGGGTTCAATTCCTCAGCACCACATAAGCAGGGGGGGAAAAGCCAGAAGTGGCACTGTGGCTCAAGTTGTAGAGCACTAGCCTTGAGCTGAAGAGCTGAGTGACAGCGC